CTTTCCCTAAAATTCTCAACAAAATCAATACTAAACTACTCATGTGGTTTATTAAAAACAACAAATGAAATCTCCTAGATGAATGAGTGAAATAATTACATCAATATGACTAACAAACCTACAAAATCAAAAAAAAAAAATCTAGTATGATTAAAGAATAATGCCCCTAACAATGAAGGGTATATTTATCTATAATAATAAACAATTATTAACCTACATATCATTGATATGACACTCAAACTATTTGGGATTCACCTGAAAATGCTAACTAAAACTTAACTTGAAGATCCTTCACATGGCAAAATTTAAGTTAATAATCAAATCACACAAAAGATTTCAATACCTGTATTCATACAACCAAAGCTATCATATTTTATAAACACAAAAAAACATATTCAGTCAAATCTAAGCCACATAGTTAAATATCACAAACAAGAGAATGCTACTATTAACTTCAAAAACTTAAATAGTTGAATTGCTGATCCTAATCTAATCTAACATGTCTGACAAACTACTAAAGTTTAATCAATCTAATGATAATGCATTGACTATATATGGATGGCACACTAAGGGCATTTAAGTCATTTGTCAACTATGTTTTTTGAGTAAGGATTCATTAAGTAATGGATGTGCTGATCTATATATTGTTATTGAGATTATGAAAAAAAATAAGCATAAATATTAGATTGGTCGATAATAAATTTTACGAAAATATATTTTTACAAAATGATATAAGAGTTTCATGTTGATCAAGCAAACACGTACAAAATGATATAAGAGTTTCTTTCTCCTTTTTTCATGGATCTACTTGGTGAGGTGAGGGATGTCACACAAACTCGATAAGAAAGCATCTAATAATTTTTCGAGGTGTGGTGCTGTATTGAGCAAACAAATGCATTACGACGAAATCTTCTAAGTTTCATTGAATAATAGGAAAAAAAAATAATTAATACAAAATGCTTACAGATAATTTGATTTCATTCGCTTTGCATTTAGACTTTGTAGTTGAAAAAAAAATTTACTTACAGATTTATATCAAACTACGCTTTATTTTGCATCTAAATATCGTACCTCAAAATTATCACCCATAAACCCAAACAACCCCATAATGAAGATGTAGTTGCCACTGGTCAACTCAAGTAGTAAAACTAGTCATGGACGAAGATGAGCTCTTCCATCTATCAGTCACGGAATCAGGTGAGTAAGGAGAACCAGACTTCAACAATCTTGCTTCTTCCTTCATTTGTGTATCAGCCAACAGAGAATCATCACTCTTCCATCCACTTTTCTCAATCGCCCTCAAAATCTCAAGTACTTCCTTAATTCCAGGCCTCACCTCCCCTTCCGAATGCAAGCACCGCAATCCCAGTGCTGCTACCTCGCTAATCATGACCTTTATTCTGTAATCCGAATCATAACCCAACCTTCGATCAACAAACTCATCCAACTCCTGCTGCTGAATCTTCCTAATTGCCAAGCTCGACAGATTCACCTCATTCCTATCCCTGCTAATATCAACTGCAGGCATTGAAGATACGAGCTCCATCAATACAACTCCAAAACTGTACACATCACTCTTATCAGTGAGCTGATAGCATTGGTGGTACTCTGGGTCAACATAGCCCGCAGTGCCTTGCGGAGCAGTGGAGACATGAGTGGCATCAAGTGGCAAGAGACGTGAGAGGCCAAAGTCTGCAACTTTCACGTGGAAGCTATTGTCGAGTAAAATGTTGGTTGTTTTGACGTCTCTGTGGATGATTTGTGGCTCAATGGAATGAAGATAGTTCAGAGCATCTGCTGTTTCGATGGCAATGCTTAGCCTTACTTTCCATGGTAAGAGAGATTCTGAGGCATGGGATCCATGGAGGTGGTCTGCGACTGTGCCATTTGGGATGAATTCATAGACGAGGAGGAGCTCGCGGCTGCGGCGGGAAGTGCAGCCATAGAGAGTTACGAGATTCTGGTGGCGAAGGAGGGAGAGGATCTTAACTTCATTCATGAATTGCTCCAACCGACGGTAGTTGTTCTCATATAGCCGCTTCACTGCTACTACTCTGCCGTCTTTCAGGTTTCCTGTTATATGAATTTGACTATTGAAGGCGTCACAATGGCCAATTACAGTAATTGAAAAAGTATTAAATGTTTCACAATGCTAATAAGAGAAGATAAGTTCAATCTTTGACATCTATTTTTATACTTTCGTCGCTCATATCATATAAATTGCAATAATAAATAGGGATCAACTGTTCCAACGTGCCTTTTTATATATTTCATTTGGGCATTGATGAGCACGGCTGTTAAAAGCTGATAAGAAGTTGTCATATTTCTATTACATATAGAATAGAAAAGATATTGATAAATTAATGCTAAATGAGTTGAATATATATGAATTATTTGCATGAAATTTCATGAATCTATTTCACATAATTGCAGTTTACTATTTTGGCCTCATTCAATTTTGTATCAGTCAAAGCAAACAAAGAAAAATATGGCTTTCTTAGAAATATTTACTGTAGGATCTGAATTTAAAGAAAAATTCTGCCAGAGTTCGATTTGATATTTGAATTATAATTGCTTAAAATCGTTTTGGAGAAAACAGTTGGCTAGTTTCAAGGTATGCTAGAAAAATTAAATTACCTTTGTAGACTGTACCAAAGCCCCCATCACCAAGTTCATTTGAAGCATCAAAGCCATTGGTTGCTTCATGAAGCTCATCATAGGAGAAGATGGGAGATGTGAGAGAAGAGCCCTGTTCACATTCAAATTTGGACATCATTAATGAAGTGTTTCGGTCGAAGAGGTTTGATTTCGCAAACTGTTTTTTCTTCTTGCGTCTGTAGAGAAGAAAGCAGAGCAAGCAAAATATGATGAAGCTCAAACCTCCTGCTGTGCTAAGTCCTGTTTGTGCAAAATTATAGTTAAGATCACGTCATTAGATAAATAAATATGACTTCTTATTATTGCAAAATTAAAACCTAACAGAGTATGAAAATTCACTTTTGGGTTCAAAAAGCTATTTTCATCTCACATTAATTTTTTGTTTGACATTGGAATGTTAAGCGGGATGAGCTTGAACTGACGAGCGTTATTGTTCAATTTTGGTTTTTGGTATGAAATTAAGTCACTATTATTCCCATGGAATTGAAGATATACTGCAATGTATTGCTCATGATCCTGAGGCAAAAGAAGAGATGCAGATACAATATACCATTCTTTAGTTACAGTTTTCAAAAAAAATCAAGATCACTGTGCCAGAATTTCAGAAACAGAAAAGAGTGGAATGAACCCACAACTGAGGCCAATTCTGAGCAATAGAAAGAGAAATTGCTGAGAAAAAACCAGCAAGTTCATCCAGAATCAGATTTACCAATGTACCATTTGTATGGAATTGCGTTTATTTTTTAATGGAAAAGTTCAATAATTCTTAAATTTTGTACATAATGATGATATGCTATTTTGTAAATAGAAAAACTAATTCTACCATACATGCCTTTATTACTTAAACCCGCCCTAATATAATTACTAATATAGTTTGTTCTAAAATCTTGGTAATGCATAGTTTGTATGCACGAAACATCATAGTACACCCTAATCAAAATATCACGATTTGGTAATAAACTTTATTAATTACATTAGAGTTTCAATAAATATAGACATTTATTCAAGGTTTCAAAAAAATATTAGCAAGGATCCTAATATCCTAATCGTAATTTTGTTTAAAATTAAATAAAAAAGTTATCCCTTATATAGAATTTTAGAACTATTACTATTTGCAATGAAAACACCAAATTAGAGGGGCCGATACTCCATAAAAATATTGCAAGCATTGTTTTCTCTAAAAGACAGAAATCTGTTTATTTTCCTGGAAATGAACTCTAGTCGTTAATTTGTAGTAAGGAAATTGCAGAGGTATTCAGAGAGATTATGTTTGAATAATAAGATAAACAGAACCATAAATTTTTCGACCAAGTTTCATATAATAAATATCACTGGGGAAATAAAAATAACAAAAGAAATATATCCCTCACCTACTGTAAGAGCAGTCTTCGAACTTCCCTCATCTGTTTAACCAAACAAAAATTAGAAGGGTGAGTTGGTAGGAAACATTAACAACAAAATTTGTGTCAAGTAGAATACTATGTAAGAAATTGCAGATAATAATAGATTCAATAACACCAAATATCCTTTAAATTATTCACAGATAGAGCTTTTAAGCCATAAAAACTTACATTTCATTAAATCCTTAATTTACAAGATGAATAAAATTAGTAGTCCCTAAAAAACTGCAGTAACTAATGTGTTAATTTTTTGGTTTCAACAATCTTTTAAGAAAGAACAAATGACTGCCATCCTGGTTTCTTTCTAAAATGCTCAGGAAATCAAATTGAAGAAAATAGGGGTTTGAACTCATCAATTTCCTCTCACAGATTCCTAGGATACAAACAAAATCTCAATTAATATAAAGCTGCGTGAAGAACTTTCATTTTTAGGTATTTCTAATGGGAAAAAATTGAAAGATGATTGCAGCACAAATTGCAAGTAAGATGTACGGGACAAAATTTGTCGCTTGAATTAAAAAAAATGACTAAAATTTAAGGAAGCAAATCAAAGAAAACCTCCAGTAATTTATAGCCATAAATGAAAATAGATAAAATTTCCCAAGCATGGCAGCACTTGAACAAATTCTGCAGTAATCAACCTAGTCTGGATGGTCTGGCCCAAAGAAGAGGACTGCTCTGTGCAAATAATTCATGAAGAATCAAAAAGTAATAAGAGGGATGATTCAATAATGGAAAATAAAAAACGTCTTCTTGAATCACTATTGGGAGTTTCATGTGAGCAGAGATGGATAAAAAAGAAAAACTTAAATCATTATTATTGAACTACATTCAAAACTTCAGTAAGTTCATAAAAAAATCCTATGAAAAAATAAAAAAATAATACGTTAGGCAAATTATTGTTGGAGAAATAAAATTTAAGAATTTTCTAAAATTAAATCAATTATACAGATATATATTTATAATATATATATATGTGTGTGTGTGTGTGTGTGTGTATTATAAATGATTTAATTTGGTAGGAGGCTGTCACTGGTCCAATGGCTGCCCCCTGATGATGGATGGATTAAACTCAATACTGACGACAGCTGGTCCTCAAGAGCTATGTATGTATATATATGTATATGTATGTATATATATATGTATATATATTATAAATGATTTAATTTGGTAGGAGGCTGTCACTGGTCCAATGGCTACCCCCTAATGATGGATGGATTAAACACAATACTGACGGCAACTGGTCCTCAAGAGCTGCTGGTATTGGTGGTGTTTTAAGAAAGTGTTTAGGCACTTATTTGTGTCATTTTGCTTCCCCGAATGAGGCTGTTAACTCGCTGGAATGTGAAGGCCTGGCTGTTTTGATGGGTCTCAAAATTGCAGTTATTTTTCACTATTCTAATTTGATTATTGAAATTGATTCATGGCAGCTTTATATGATGCTTACTAAACAGGCCAAGCCTGAGTGGGATATATTGTCTTCTTAAACGTATATGGCATCTAATTACTGCACATCAACTTAACATTCATTTCAGCTTTACTTATAGAGAAGGGAATGCACCTGCGGATTGGCTAACAAAAAGTGGATGTACATTCCTTACTGTTGCGACAGTTCCCCCCTAGCCTCTGAAACGTTTATTGCATGGGGATAATCTTCCTATACCTTCTATTAGAAGCTAACATGGTTTTTATGATCCCTGTTTTCTCTGCTCACCTGCTCTGTTATATTTTTTCCTCACCCGATCACTGCTCTATTCCCCTAGTTGCTCATTGTGTTTTGGAAGACTTCTATGGCCCCTTTGCTTTCATGACTTTTCTCTTCTCTTTTTGAGTTTCGTACAGGTGGATTGCGCTACAGTTTTCCTACAGGTGGATGTGTTTGCCCTCTTTGTGATTGTGTTGCAGGTCCTGCGGTTCCTTTAATGTCGTTCTCACCTTCCTGGACTGCTTTTGATTCTCTTTTGTGTTTGGTGTACATGTCAATTTTGGGTATATATTTTCTTTCTAGTATATGGGGTCTCATGTATTTTTGGGTATACAATACATTTTATTGATTTTCTTTATTTTTTTGGCGTGGCGTTGTAAAGTGGAAAGAGAAACCCCTAGGACCTTAATGTATTTATTTTGCTTTTAGATGGGAATCTTCTTTCCCTCCCTCTTTTTGTACATTCAATTTATATTAACGCGTAGGGAGCCACGGGTTGCTCTTTCCCAAAAAAAAATATATATATATATATATCCCTCTTTTTGTACATTCAATTTATATTAACGCGTAGGGAGCCACGGGTTGCTCTTTCCCAAAAAAAAATATATATATATATATATCCCTCTTTTTGTACATTCAATTTATATTAGAGAGAGAGAGAGAGAGAGAGAGAGACACACACACACACATACACATTGTCACGAGCCGGCCCAATGCTTGAAAGTAACTAAGGCGAGTACAGATAGTCGGACGGTCTGAATTACATTTTCTACATTAATCTACAACTTAACAGATGAAAGAGTCACTAAGCAAATTAAATTAAAGCAGTATAATTAAATTTATCTTGTTGTTGGTTGTCCGCGTCTTTTATAAACATTATCTCTTTTAACACTCATTATTAAATACTTGATTAATCTGAAAATTTAGCTTAAAATAATATTGAACTAAACAAACAGTGAATACTCATACTAATAAACCACAGTAATACAAGAGAAAAGGAAGCAATATACATGCCAACCAAAATTTTAATAAATTAATGATAAAATTCGATGTTATTCAAATAACATTGTTATAACAATAACTTATCATTATCATTTTATATATGTACAATCGTCACATGAACACCATTTAAAAATTGTGTAAATTAAGATATATCAAAATCAATATCAATTTTTACATACGTGAACATAACCTTAGTGTTACCCCACTAGTACTATCAAGGGATTACTTCATCATAGTCAATCATGTACATACAAACATCCAACAAAAATATCACTTTCTAATAAAAAAATATTAATTTCTCATTTGCATAGCAGTCAAATCATTTAATAATGCTGTGCACACATATCATTCCAATATATAAACAAAAAAATTAACTAGAATTTAAAATTATGAGTTTACAGTAATTTCAATATAACTAATGATACTACTAGTGAATACATTTGATCTAGAAGAAATAAAATATTATCATAGAATAATAACATAAGTCTCACATTGATGTCGATTAACTTGCTATTTGATTTTTGACGTCAACTCAATTGAAAGCCTAATATAATATAAAATTTAATTAATTTAATTTTTTAATAAACTATTAACTTTTATTATTTAAGTATTAAATTCATTATTCTATTTTATGTAATCCTAATTAAAATTCATTAATTAAATTTACAAAATATAAACTAAACTTTTCTTACTAAAGTTTGTCTGGGTCAATCTTCCTCTAGCTCTCACCATTCACCTCCTTACCTCTAAATCTAAAATTCTAACCAAAGGTTCTAAATAATTAAATTTTCTATGAAAATTACAATATATATAAAAGTTGATTGCCGATCAACCTCATAGTCTGACCGAGGGGCGGACCCCCCTTCCAGAAGGTGTGCAATTCGATCCTACGTAGGGATTGAACCCCCGACCCGAGGGATTTACATCAAAGACCGCAACCAATAATCCAGGCTAAGACGCACACACACACATTGTGTGTCTGTGTCTGTGTGTGTGTGCGTGCATGCAAGCAACCTTGGCCTGCTGGAAGGCAACTTCGACGTAAGTCCCCCTGCCTTGGGTTCGAATCCCAACTGGGACGAATTAGCACATATGGGGAATTGGTATTTAGGGGACAGGATGACACGTCCACCCTAAATACCGATTCCTTTTCAATGAAAATAAGAACCATAATGTACAATATAAAAATATTCCGAAGAAATTGAAGGATGCATATGCATATTACATAATCAATTTGTACTTTTCAAGTTTGTCTTTCTTAGATGGAGGCACGAGTTAAAAACATAGATTTGACCCTCCATCAGAGCACTAATATTTTGGGCTAAATATAAATATGAGCATTGATTTGCTAAATCTAAATTAATTTATCTTTTGATTCACAATTCCTAAAACGCATATCCTCCACTGTCATCATAGAAATTTAGAGGACTAATGGTGAGCTTAAGGATACGTAAGCACCACATTCCACAATTTAAAAAAAAATAAATAATATTCTAATTGAAAATGATAGATAATGGTGTATTAATTAATAAATTGGATTAAATGATAAGAAAATGAATAAAATAAATATGTAGTTAATAAGTAATCTTAAAATGTTATTGATATTAAATTATAATATATCACTATTAAATAATAATTAAATATTTTCTAGTCAATCAAATTTTATTTGAATAATAAATCATTTATGTTACAAATATCATCGAGCTTAATATTAAAAATTTAATAAATTACATATTGAATAACAAACGAGTTTTTTCGTGAATATAAATGAACAAAAGACTATTTAAAATTGGTTTATTTACCATTTGAGTTTTAAAATATGTTTAATAAACTTGATCGAGCATGACTCGAGCCAAATTTAAAAGGTCATCGAGTGGAATTATTCATTTACAACTTTACCTATATTTCAAATAATAAAACTATCTTGCATCCCGCATGCACATTGATGCACATCGAAGAGAGTTCATGTGTCACTAAATAAAATATTTTGATTTAAATATATAAATATTTTGGCTACCGCAAAGTAGTGAAAAATCTTAAATCGACATTAATAAAGGTAGGAGCTGTTCAAACCACTAAATTAGCAAACATCAACATGGTTAGGAATCAAAAAAAGATCCACAAAGAAATCTCAATTAGAGAAATCAACATAATGCTATAAAATATATGACGCAGTATCATTCATCAAGCTTTGGTATTCTACTTTCATTTATCCTTTTTGAGGAACTTTAGACATATTTTATCAAGCGCGCGCACACACAAATACATATCTATCCATCTATCTACATATACATAT